TGAAAATAAATGGATTTTTGGCCGCCACTTTCATAAAAAAATTTAAATTTCGGTGAACTTTTCGCGACATTTTTTTTTTTCAAATAGTTATAATCGAAAAAAGTCCTTCGTCCAACTTATTTAAGAATTGTATCTCAAGGACCTGTGAAGAATTTTATGATGATGAGTAGTTCTCGAGAAATCTTACCAAGCGACTTCAAAAACACAAAGAAACGAGAAGAACGGGTTTAAAGAATCTAGTTCTCCAGGCTGTATCTCCGAAACTATTACTCTAATCAACTTGAAATTTAGGACAATAGTCGGGAGGTGTTGTGCAACCTCGTGTAACCCCTTGCCAGTGTGATTCCTAACCTTGAGAAAGCAGTTACAAATTTTCTACTTCAGTGAATCGGAGCCGGCAAAGTTCATCAATGCCTTCCGCCTTAGCGTCAGAAAACTGGCTGGCTGACCAAAGAAAAAATAGAAGTATTTCCTATGGTCATACAATCGTAATATAATCGTTAATTACTAAAGAAGTAAATTTTCCCGAAACTTTCCATATAAATTTAAATGACACTGCCGACTTGCACTATCGCTCGTTGAAAATACTTATTTCAAGCAACGCTGCTAACGGTAGACCTAATCTCCTAGGCCGTTGGAATGCCAGCTGTTCTAGTTACCGTCGGCAGCGACGCGCAACGCTGCAATTTTTCGTTGAAAACTTCACAGGCAGGCACAGTTTTAAATAAACTCTTCGTTGTTCCCCAGAGCTACATATAATGTATTTTTTGGCTGTTTAACTTTGACTTAAAAGCAAATAAAAATAGACCTTTTGCCAGGCATTTTGTATGCGCAAAATCCATTTTAGGTTTTTTGTCAAAACTCCCGTAACCCAAATACACTTTCAGCTGCACTTCCTGGCGCTATTTAAGATATAGTTTCCGGCGCGCATTGCAATTCTCATAATATATACAAATTCAAACATACACAAATGTACATATGTATGTATCATATATACAATTAAGCATAAAAGTACATATATGTATAGTCAAGATTATATATGTGTGTACATACACATATAAATAAACTGAGTGGGAATGCATGCTGCTCCAAAATAACTAACAACAGCAGCAATAACAGCAATATAACCCGGTAGTATGAATAAAAAGAGGAAACAAAAGCATTAAGGTGAAAGCAGGATAAGCTGTTCGCAGCAACAACAATAAGCAGCGGCAAGCAGTAACAGCGAAATCGGCCAGAACAGATGCCAGAGGATCTTAGTGCTAGACACCAGGACGCCAGGACATTTAAGTTCCACCATTTATTGTGCATGGCAAGCAGATCCCGCCACCATCACTGTGTGTTGGAGTATTTCAAATTGCATGCTCCAGTTGTGCTGCCTGTAACGTGGGTCGCCGCCCACGCCACTCCCAAATTCTCCACCGATCACCCCGTACACATGCACAACTATTTGCCCGTCTGTTGTTTGTCCGTATGCTGCTTGGGAAAAATTCTGTTGCATGGTACAAGCAGCAAAACGCTCGGATTAAAGTTACCATAAATTTTATGGACAATAAATCAGCTGCAAGGTTGCTTAGGACTGCGCAAGGTATATGTTAAACGCATACGTGCATGTGTGTGTGTGTGTGTCGATTCAAATTACTGCACCGTGTGTGTATGTTGCAAGCGTGTAAAGTGCGAAGAAAGCAAATTTCCTGAAATGAGCTTTTAAGAAATTAAAGCTTCAACCGTGAAGTGATAATAAATAACTTAAATGATAACGCAGTTAAGTGTGGTAATTGTTGGGGAGTTCAACAGCATGTCCGTATGCAAGCATGTACCGTTAAGTGTGTACACTGAATATCGCAATTAATCGAAAGTGTTTATTTACATGTTTTTAGTCAAAAGTGCAGAACTTATGTGTGGCAAGTAAATGCATTTTTGGCTGGCTGCGTATCCATAACTAATGCGGCAAGAATAATTTGTCAAATTAAATAAGGTGTATTCTTATTACTCTCACAAAGCTTCGTTGCCCATAAGTTGCGCATAAAAGGGAAAAGAAAAAATTAGAAGTAGTTATATTTCATTCAATTCAAATGCATTTATTGTTTTGTCAACCAAGCAATGGGCAGTACCGAGGTATATATTGAGAGCCAATTTTTCCATCTGTTGTCCATCTGTATGCTATTAAAGTATTTATTTAATGTTTTACTGATCACAATCCGAATAATTCTGGAAGAGCGCCAGCAATGTTTTATAGTCCTATAAGCCGTTTTTGCGTTAACTTCCAACTCCACTTTTTTTTCAAAAGTCAGTTGTTTAGAGTATAATAAATCTGCTAATAATCTCAGTGCATTTAGCGTAGAAGATTACTTTAAGTAAATTTTACTAATATACTGCTATAATAACCAATATAGTTTTACTAATGAAATTTATTTCAGGAAATATTTTATAATACTAAGAAATAATGTTTTTTATGCAAGACGTAAGTTCTTAAAAACTCTGATATATTGTTAATATAAATTTAAAATATTTTCTTGAAATTTAGTTTGGACGCCCATATATCGACGAAAGACTTTGAGCCTACCACAAATTGGTTGAGGCGTCAAATACGAATATCGATTCTCGCAAATTTGCTCACCTCGCTCAAGGTATACATACCCAGAAGTTGTAACCGTAACCATGCCAAAGCCGATCAATGAAGTCGAAAATATCTACATGCCTCCACCATTTATTAGTCCACAACTCTAGCAACATGTTAGGTCTGTTGCAAGTGTACTATTGTGGATATTTTCAGTAATTTTTGTTTATAGTTTTTATTACTGAAAATCATATACGTATTTATTGGATCCTTATCAATTGCAAAGATAATTTTGCCTATATTTGCTTATTTGACATTCATCACATATCAGCATTTTAATAATATATATAGTATTTATTGATATTGGGAGCCGAAAGCCTCTCATTCAATTTTGGTTCTAACATTGCTTTTTTTCTTAACTAGGTATTTGTATCAAATATCAAGCTTCCAGTACGTTAATATAACCATTTTTGGACACCAACAAAGTTTTTTGTTAACACTAGTTTACAGTTATTTTGCGACCGTGATAGGAGAGGCTGATTCTTGCTAATTTAAGAGATCATCTCAGTGTGAAATTTTCGTGAAATAGATTTTTTTTTAGTTATTTTTGCATTATCGGAAGATATACACTGTAATAAATATTCTCTCAATTGAAATCGAAATTCTAATTATTACGGTCACTACACCGTTTCTTGTAGAAAAGGGACAGAGTGGAGAAAATAGCGACTCTAATCTTTAAACACGTTTTTCTCATAATTTTGTTTCTCAAAACGGTTTCCACTCACAGAGGAAGAGTTTTGAGCATCCAATTTAGAGGGAATATTTTTAACGTCATTGGCTATCGCACTTTGGAAGCTTTTATTTTTTTATTGAAATCCTTCTATTTTTTTCTACGAAAAACTGTTGACAAAAAGAGCCAGATTCAATAAAACAGCCGCCATTTTGTCAAATGTATTTATTTATAAAAACAAAAATCAGACAGATTAGTTAATTTGAACATTAAAAAAAATCGCGAAAATCAGTGATTATTCAAAGGGCCGCATTGAGATAATCCCTTAAATGCAGCAAATGGCTCTGGCAAGGAACGAGAGCAAGACGAAATATTTTCACAAGAAGAAGAAGAAACCCGAAAATAATCGTACAAATTTCCTAATACGTAAAATTTTTTGTGTTGTAGTCAAGCGATCAAATAACCAGCATTTATCAACAGGTGATGGAAAATTTTTGAACTCAAATTCTTAATCACGACAAAGGTATTGGACCCCACACCCCTTTTAGCACATTAGTCGGAAATTTTTCCTTCAGATTTGTGGAGTAGTGTAATTATATAATGAACAAAGGAAGAAGAAGAAAACGTCCGAAACCCTATAAAATATAAATATAACTGATCAGCGTCACCAGCTGAGTCTATTGAGCCATGCCTGTTTTGTCCGTCTTCATATACGCGAACTATTCTCTTCGTTTTTGAGTTAGCAGTGTGAAATAAATCACACGTCACATTCTCCGCAAGAACGATCGGAAATTCTATATAAATAGAAAAATTTTTCAATGTTACAAAATTTGACATGGATATTTGTCGAAAACAACTGTGCAATCTCCGAAGAAATTGTTCAGATCGGATCATTATAGCACATAGCTAACAGCGTGCATAGCTAAACCGATATAGTTATGTCCGTCTGTCTTCTCGTCTGTCTATCCGCTTGTCAGTGAATATACAAAGTAGTCTCCCGCCTTTTTAAGATATCGATCTGAGATTTTAAACGTCGTTTTGTCCCAAAGAGCTGCTATTTGTCGAAATCGCTAATATTGAACCTATCCATCACTGTAGCATATACATAGCTGTAATTTAAACTGAACAATCGGAATAAAGTGCTTGTATGGCATTATTTTTTGTTTGATATTATATCTTGGAAAAGTTTGGTTATGGTTTAAGGTAATAATGCAATATCGATTAAAACTGTTCAGTTCGGTACAGTTATAGCATATAGCTGAAATACAACCGACCGATTAAAATCTGGTGAGTTCTGGTACCACCTTAATTAACGTTATTCTTGTTTTTATTACAATTAAAATTTTACTTCTCTCCGATCTTAGCACACAAAACTTGATTTTTTCAACTTTCTTCATTGCGCTAAGATGATAGATATTTCTGCTGGCACAAAACTACCAAACAAAATTAATATCAGAAAGTTCAAATGTCACCCGAAAAGAGCGAGTGAAATAACCTTCTCTTTCTTCTTACAAAACTATTGCTATGGACAACGTATCAGTGAGCAAGTGACTAAAATAAAATCGAAAAATAAGCATTGCTGCATGAAACAACGAAATTCATTTGCTTTAAATTCTCAAATCTTGAAAATCTGAAATTAAGCCTTATCTAGATAATGGATTGTAAAAATCTAGTGTATCTAAGCGCACACATATGGGTTTTGCCACTCACCTTGTGTCCTGGCGCATAGCAAGAGGCAAAAGTAGGACAGCAACTCCGTCAGCTTCATTTTTCATTCGTATGTGGTGTATTGCGTCGCTACGTATGCACGTATGTGTATATGTGTGCGTATGTGAAAATTGTTAAATACACAAATGCGATTGTGCAGCTGCTTGATTGTTCTCAATGTTTTGCTATTTTGTTCTGGCCGCTTGCTGTGCTGTTGCTGTTGCTTCTATTATTTTCAAGCGACTGCTCTAAGCCGCAACTACTGCTGGCTTGTCAAGTGTTGCATTCCTCGTGAAGTCCCATTTGCAGAAACTATTTTTAAGCTTTTTACTTTCACACAGCTTTTCATGGTCGTCGGTTGCAATTTTTGCCTATCTCTGCACCGGCTGAAATTTATTTGATTTTATTTTTGTTTACCGTCGGCACTTCATGCATACATATATGTGTATGTTTGTGTGCGTAAGACCATATTTCGAAAGTTTTCGTTTATTGCGTACACAAAGTTGTTTCAATGCCACTGCAAATAATTGAAATTTTATATTTTAATTACATATCTATACATACAAATACATACATATATAGAATATGTTATGTGCGTGAGTATGTGTTTTCAAAAAATTTGTAAAATTTAATAAATAAAGCAGACAATAGTCTGCGCTTCCCAGAAGTTCGTTAGTTCAATGTATGAAACATTTTACATTCCTACCGCAATTTAAGTAAATTTCATTGGAAAATCAAATAAAACCAGAAAGAAATTAGGTTAGGGAATTATTAAGTCAATCTTTTCTCCATTTATTTCTTTTAATAGAAACCACTTTTGCCCCGAAAATATTTTAAAGTGTTGCAAGCTTACGGCAATTTTTATTTTTTATTTTTTGTCAGATTTAATATCACCTTCATTGCACATGGTCGAGTATATAGAATACTATATTGAGACACATTTTATTAATATTTTATTTTTTCTGTGCAATCCAACCGCAATACTTTTGCACGAATCTCGCAATATGCCAGTGTAGTGTAAAATATATAACAATTTGCAACAATATTTTACTTTGAGCTTCTGTTTTCAAAGCAGTAATAGCACAAATATACGTAGAAGTATGTATTAGTTATTGTGTAGATGTATTTACTTATGCACTTACTTTAAAAGCACTTTAAGCTTATGCAATAAAATATTGTGAAGAAAAGTAACCATTGTAGAAAAATGCAAGAGCATAATGGAGAATTATACACTTATATAGAATCATACTATTTTCTTTTTAATGTTATTCACAAATGAATGCCTAAAAGGAGGCTTTTACCTAGACATGTAGCGTGAGCTTAACACTTAAACAATCAGCCGCGTATAGTAGGTTGTACTCTTTAAGATGCTCTTGATCTGAATATTTATTTTTCCACCTTCAAAGTAATCTCCACCAGAAATAACACATATACTTACGCAGACACTTTTTCCAGTCCTCGAAAGCACTTTTTGGGATGGTCTTCAGCTTCTTCAACGAAATTTGTTTTATCTATTCGATTGACTAAAAAAGGGTTTCACAGAGTGGCAATTCCAATTTGGGGAACAAGAAAAAATCATGGTGGTTGGTCAATGATATTCATAACATTTTTGGCTCTAAATGCGGTCGCAATCGTATTCTTTTCGAAAAGAAACTGTGTTCTACCGGTGTGGCTGCATCCCGTTGTGTATATTAAAAAAAAAAAAAAGTTAGCCATTCGTAGAAGGTGTCAAACTTCTAGGCCGTTACAATTACCAGATAAAAGCCAATATGTATGTAAGCCAAAACGTATGGCATATCCAACGTTTCGCACTGCGCTAATGTTTTTCTTTCGGCACGGATGTCGGGAGCTTACGAGCGCACTGCGCAACGATGGATGTACTATACGTTTTAAGAGCGGTAGGGGGACAAAAAATTCAATATCTTTCGAATGGTATGAATGAAGAACAATTTTTTTGCAATTTATTAAAGGTATATATTTATGCGTTTTTTTAGTGTGAAGAACACTTTAAAAATTCCAATTGTTTAACACAAAATTATGTAATATATTATTATTTAATCAAATGGATCGTGAAAAAATATCTGTAATATAGCACGAACATATTTCCTTGACTTCACAATTTTCACCGATTTATCTCCAGCAGTTTATGAGAAAGTAATCTTAAATTTTTTCATGCTGTAACAAGAAAAAACCTTAACTTCGGTTGCACCGAAGCTAAATACCCCTCACAGGTACACCTCCGTTAGTAACTATGCGTTCAGTTGATTATATTGTTACCTTAAGCAGTAATCCGTACCAAATTTCGTGACGATACCACATCAAATGCCACAGTTTTCCATACAGGCTCTTGATTCCGATTGTTCAGTTTACATGGCTATATGTTATAGTGGGGTTCCATATCGGCAGTTCCGACAAATGAGCAGCTCCTTGAAGAGAAAATGACGTTTGTAAAATTTCAAAACGATATCTTGAAAACTGAGTAACTAGTTTGTATATATACAGACAGACAGACGGATGGACATGGCTAAATCGACTCAGCTCGACATACTGATCATATATATATACTTTATAGTGTCTCCGACCCTTCCTTCTGGGTGTTACAAACTGTTCAGGGTATAAAAATAATTTTGACGAAATATTTATATCACGTCTGGTCCTCTTCCTAATAAAATGCTAATTTTCAAAATCATTGATTTTTCGAAATATCGTGGACCATTTAATGTGGTTTGACCCTACTGTTATGATCAAGAAATAGTAAAAATTTAGTCACATGGAGCTTTTTACCAATAGCTTTGCGCAAACGTCGCATAAAACTCAAATGCTATTCCTCGTTGGCAGTTTAGACGGTCGGAAGGAATTCGTAGTGGACCACACCTCGATAATCGAAAAAAGCTGCCAACATAAACTGGATTTTTGAGCTGATTTTAGCTCCACCTCATCTTCCCCACGCTATTCAGCAGATTGATCGTGTGTTTCCGGGTCTTAAACATATATCCAAGACTCATCACCAATAATAATACGTTTCATGAAAGCTTGGTAGTCGCAAACGCGGCGCTGTATTTCGAAAAATTGAGTGATGTTGGAACTAAGCGTGCATTCACTTTTCTTATGTCCAAATTATCCTTCAAAATGGTTTAACTGATCCTTCCGATATTTAAATGATATCAGTAAGATCTCTGACTATTAATATTCGATTATCAACATTATGTGATAATGTTAAATAGAGATAATATCTGGTCAGTGCTACCCCTATCTCCCATATACTTAACATATGATTTTCAAACTTCCGCTACGCTTTATACCTAAATGTAAGTGCATTTGTAAGATATCTTAGCAAAATTTAATTTCCAGACTGGAATACCCGGCTTTCCTCGTAACCTGAAAATATGTCGTTTGTTCTAAATATTTAAGTAATCAATTTTTTACACTGACCTTGGTTGACTTGCCTTTAAATAATTGGTGCTATTTCTGATTAAAATTCGCCTTGAAACGAAGTGTCAAGCGTGGGTCTTTAATGTAATGAGAATGCAAAGGTCATATGTATATGAGAGACGAAAATAAACACAAACTGCAATTTCTGCAATGCATTAGTTGCGGAGAAGTTGGCCGCCAGCAAATGTTGCGACATTACTGTTGCATTAATCAATGGCGAAGGTCAACTGCCACCTACAAGGAATCTAAGTGCTTGAATAACTAAAACCGTTAGTCAGCACGGCAAAACAGTGTAGCAATTTGTCTTGCATTTGGCGGCATTCTTAATGGCTGACGCAGCGCAAGGTGTTGCACGAATACATTTGCATATCAATGCGGGGCAAATGGTGCACACACAGTAAATTTACTGTTATGCTAAGTAAGGTGCAATAAAGCGGTTGCACGAAAATGGCATACCGCGAAAAATGTCACCCATTACTTGACATTTCAAGTAGAATTATATAAAAAGAAGAACAAAAGTAGCAAACAATAAAAATTAGTTCTGGCTAAAATTGGCCATAAAGTGCAGTGGTAATTTATATAAATACACATGCAATTGCACATATTTACCGTAGTCTGATTCTATAAGTGTGTATACACTGTGTGTGGTAGCACGCAACCCACATGCCACAACGCGGTCACAGTGCTTGCGAGTTTGGTGTGTCCGCTCAAATCAAGCGCTGCCATGCTCTTGCCGACGACTTTCAGCCATATTCACCTTACTAATTTACATTTTATGTCATGTCATGAACGTAATTGAAATTTCCTACCGCTAAAAAGGCAACAATGGGCAGTGAAGTGCTATACCACCGGCGACGGCGAGTGGAAATGCGCTGCTGGCGTGTTGACGCAGCGCATACATGTACAGCAAAGTATGTATGTTTATGTCCCACCACCGCTAATGCATGTGTATGTGTGTTTGTACGGAAAACTCCTGCATTTGCCTTTTTGCAGTCTGTCTCCCCCTTGCGTTGCACTGTGGCTAATTACAAACAGCGAAAACAATTCATTTTTATGTTCCCTTTCGCCAGTCTGCGGCTCCACCAGCATTTCACTCGCCTCGCTGCATTCTATTTGCTGCACTTTTCTTTCTTTCTTTCTTCATATTCATACCTTTTTTGTTTGCCGACGTTCATATTCTATTTCTGTTGCAATGGCGTCATTATTATTTAGCCTCTCTACTTCTCCCCTGCATGTATGTAAGTATGATTCTTGCATTTTGCAAAGAACGTCTGTGGTTGTTGGCGTAAAAGGTGGAGCGGCGAGGCAGAGAAAACACAAAAGTCAGAAATGGAAGTTGCAACTTTATTGTTATTACTAAGTGTTCGTTTATGTTGATTGTACACGCACATATATGAATATACTTAAGTCAAGTGTGTAGAAGAATGGAAAACTTTTTGTTGACGCTCCCACAAAACTAATTGTTACTACAATTTCAAATGCTGCACTAAAATATAAATTCATATGTTTATTTATATGCAACAAATAATATGTAAACAAGATTTGAATAAAGGTTTGAAGAAAAACTTTTATGTTATTGCATATCTTTAAACATTTCCGTGATCATTTTAGATAGTGTAGGTTAATAAATTAATTTTTTTTTT